GCAAGGGTACTACAAAAGATCAGGGGTGCAAAACAGAAAGGAAATTGGCTCTTGCACAAAAGTACAGCTGTCAAATCTGAATATCAAGTTTGAAATTAGAGTTTCTAAATTAGGACATTCATTTCTTCTCTTTTTCATTCACTAAAGGTGTCAAGCCTAATAAAGCTTTCTGTGTTCATACCGGGAATACTAAGCAGACATTGTTGCTCCTCTGGCATTTCAAAACCAGGACTTGAAATGACTGACAATTTTTGTTATTTTTCCTCTGCTTACTGATTCCTGCACTAAAAGTAAGCACACTTTCAGGCCTTAATTTTTTTAATTGTAATTTTTAGAAATTAGATATTTGGAACTCAAAAGAGCAGTCTTAAAAACTTTAGGAAATTATGTTGCAAAATACGAAGGTTATGTCTAACATTGTAAAGGTTAAGAAATGGAGAAAATACATTAAAAAGCGCGATACAGTGGCAAGAAAGTGTAGAATCCAGGCTCTGTGTGTGTGTTACTTGTGATTTTAATTTAGAATTATTCTGAATCTTTTAGTTAACTGTTTATTATTAGTGAGATAAATTATCAGCATCGTGTTACACTTGTGTTTATTATGTCAATATCGACTCTCTCCAATTATTTTAATAACGTATGTTAAATATCTTTTCCCAGGGAAGGGAAAGGGAAGAAGCCTATAAGTAGACTTAGTTGATCAGTTTCAGATATTACACTAAGGCTCTCTGCCTTCATCATGTATCAAAAGAAAAGAGAAAAAAATCACCTACTTCACTAGCTTCAGCCAATGCTTCCTTTCTTCAGAAAGTAAAGAATAAAAGAGGCTAGATCTCCAACAGAACATTTAGTAGAATTTCATCACTTTAAAAAAGTACAAGTAACACCACAAATTATCTGAATGTAGTAAAGGATTTATCTACAAACATGATGAAACAAGTTAGTGTGGCCATTCTAATTGCTAGATGGTTTTACAGATCGATATAGATAGATATTGATAGATAGGTAGAATATACTCAACTGTTAGGGACTGTACAGAAACAGTCTAGACACTTGAAAACATTTTATTCACATACAGTTCCTCAAATTACATAACTTCCACTCTGATTTTCAAAATAGACCAGAACGATGATGACATAATATAGCAAAAACTTGAGATGATTTTCTGCAAGTGAGGTGATCATGCATTCAAAAGTTATTTCTGCTCTTCATTGATAAATAACAATACAGAATGGAAGAAGTTTATATAACTGTCATAAAAGATCAAGAGCAAGAGGGATGAGGATCTTTAACACTAGAAAATGCAATTCAGTAATTGGACAACATAATAGGCTAGTTTTAAAAATAATGAAAAACCCAGCCTGAAGTAAATGTTATTTGTTCAAGTAATCAAACAGCACTTTAGTGCTGCCAGTTAAACTTCATTCCCATACCAAAAGAATCAGTTTCTTTTAGGTAATGTACCTAAGCATTCATGCACCTATTTCCATTAATTACATTTCCAATAAAAAAGTCTTTATATATAGGTTGTTTCTTGTAATGAATTAAAATCCTAGAGAGAGATTAAATATGCTCCTTACATGCAATACCTTTCTGAAGCATAAGGAAAATTTTTTTTTTCCACAAGAAATATTAGAAAGAATTGCTACTGAAACCTGCGTGACTGAAACAAAAAAAGCATGAGACAAATATATTTTAGTTTAAACTTAAAATATTGCAATGTACAATAATTTTGTGGTATTATTTTAATTAACAGGATCTTGTTTTTTAAATGTTTTTAATTACGGAGGTAGAAGAGTTGAAGTAACTAACTAGACGGACTCCTTTAATACTGTTTGGCAAGACAAAAGCCATAAAGGTAATAAACATACTCTCCCCACCCATGCTCATAAATACTTGATTGAACCGGGATTAAACTTGCAGGTCTAATGATCATAGCACACATTTCACTAGGCGTTCATTACTTCCTCCCTCAAAAGCAAAATTTTCACAAATGCTGCTCAATGCAGTGATGCTTGAACTATCCAGTGATTACATGACACCCCCCCTCCCCCCCCCC